GAGCTCCCCTGTCACGCCTGAGACCACAGGCCCGGCCCCACTTTGTGCCATGGCTGGAGTCCCACTGTCAACTACCTGCTCTCTGGGACTTGGCACAGTCCCTTGGGTCGCCAGGATAAAGCTGTATGTGCGCAGGTGTACTTGTGTGTATGCGGTTGGGTTGGGTGCGTGTACACATGAGCATGCGTCCTGAGTCTGTGGCACTTGGGTGAGCGTGTATGGGTGCCTGTGGGGGGGGCAGGGGGAGGCATGGAGGTGGGGGGGTGTCACGGTGCCTCTGGCTCCCTGCTGCAATGCAGCTCTGCCCTCATCAGCTCGCCTGTAATTGGATAATTAGTGTCATTACGCTCCTTGCGCGCTCGCCCGCTGGAGTGTGCAGCCCTTTGCCAGCTCACGCCGGAGAGGGTGCAAGCCCATGGCTGTTCCCCCTTCTTCAATGTGAGCACTGACTTTTCTCAGGGACCCAAGGTCACCAAGGCTGGGAGGGCCACCTGTGTGGGAGAGTCGACAGCTCTCCAGCAACATCCTGTCATGGGTTTGACGCACCTGAGAGGTCTGTCCCAGGCAAAATGGAATGTTCTGGCCTCCTGACCTGTGAACTCTGAGGGCCAGGTGGAGTTGGGGAGGGGGTGGAGCTCGGGGACTCTTGCTATAGGCAGACTGCGCCGCCCAACTTCAAGGGGGAGGCTCATCTTAGAGGCCACCTGGTGGGTAAGTGACCGCCACTCCTTCCTGCTTGGGTGCCACGGATTCAGGGACCATGGGCAGCGGGGAGAGGACGAATCCCCCACGCCGTGGAGCTGTAACCACGTTTGCGGAACAGCCGTGAGTCTCCGTGGCAGAGGGGGATGTTGGAAGCTCTGCTTCTACCTCTGCTCCTTGCTGGCTGGCTGCCTTTAAGTAAGCTTCTGAACCTCTCTGTGCCTCACCCGTTGCTCCTTCTGACCGTTGGCTTCTCTCTCCGGTTTCAGCTAGAACTTAGAGGACCATGTCAAATGGTCCAGGTGAGAAGGAGACCACTTCACAGCACCACAGGCTCCAGCAAGGCCATGGAAACTTCCAGAAGGCCTCCTCGCTCTCCCAGAAGGAAAGCTGGCTTTTGGCAGACAGGGAAGCTTTTGTACGGAGGGCCCCAGCTCCATCTGGATTGCTCGGGATGTGGGTTTGGCTTTCTCAACATAAAAGTGCCTTCTAAGTGAGAAGGTGACTTCTCTCTCCCATAAAAGCCTAGATGTCACAGTCATCAGGGGCCCGGTGCCATCCTCGATGCACGGAGTCCCCTGGACGATGGCTCCAGAATAGCGCACCCTCAGAAGTTGTCCCTATATCCCCTTCGCTCTCACTCCATTAGCCAGAACTTCATCACATGGTCATGCCTAGCTGCAAGGGAACTGGGGGGGTGGGGGGTGGACTGTCAGCATTAGCTGAATGACAAGACAGCTAGCTGAACACCCCAGGGTGCCAGAGCAGTCAGCCAGCCTTGGCGCCACGGCTGTGAGGGTGACGAAGGGACCGCTGCAATTGCTATTTCAAGTCAGGGTGTCACGCTGGGCCCAGCATCAACTGCAATCACTGGCAGGACTTGTTTGAACTGGAGGATTCTGGGAGCTGCCCTGGAGACCCCAATGGCAGAGAAATGTGCCCAACGTGCTTGTGGTTTCCAAAGCCAACTCTCAACATCCAGTGCGTGGGCAGGGAGGGCCGCCTGACCTCCTGAACCCAAAGTGCTCACCCCGGGACCCTACCATTTAGAAGTGGCTGGTAGACTGGAGCATGGGCTTCCAGTGTCTGTAGATGGGCACACCTCTGCTCCTCCCTTGGCTTTAGAGGGATCCTGATCTGTGCCCTTTGGCCTTGCAGACAGCCCATGGGTCCTGGGAGTGGCCCTGTTCCCTCATGGCCATGCAGCGGGGGTGGGCGGGGGGGTGGGAGAGGACTGACCCCTTTGCCTCCCTCTTGTTTGTGCCAAAAGCTGCTCGGATCTGTGTACAGGCTGTACCCGTGGGGGGTGGAAGGGCAGGGGAGGGAGAGAGAGTGAGTAGTCCAGGTAGAGAGGGATGCCTGTCCCTTTAAATCTGTTTTCTCCGGTTTTATTTCCTTCTTTTTTATCCCATCCTCCTCCCTCCACTAGCACAAGTGGTAGAACTGCAGTGAGGGTGCCTCTGAAATATTAATGAGGCTGCTCTCCGCTCCTTCGCCCCCCCAGGTGCCCTCCCGCCCTCCCCCTACGGGTGGTCACAAGGTACATCAAACGGGGTGGGGAAGGGCCTGGTGGGGGAAATAAAGGGTTAATGGGTCTCCAAGGTGGACACCCATCAGCCCTAGGACCAATGCAGCCCAGAGGTGACCAGGACAGTTGCAGGCCAGGGAGGGGTCCCACCTCCCCCTGCCTGTCCCACCTGCTCCCAGCTGGTCAGGTCACTGGTCCCTATCGAGCAGCCAGCCAGGCGGCCCCAACAGTGTCTGCAGGTGTGTGCTGGGTCCCAGGTCGCTTTCCCCTCTGGCTGCCTGGGGTGGCTCGAAGGGGGTTGTTACTTCAAGAAATCCCACCTGTGGGCCAGTTGGCTGGAGAGATGCTGTTGGGTGATTGGCCTCCAAGAGGGCGTGTGCTCAGGTGGACCCTCCCCTTTGTCACCACCTCCTCCTCCTCCTCCAAGAGGGAACTAGCAGGTGCTCTTCTTGGTTGGGGGGGGGGGGGCGGGGAGTTGTTGGCCCTCTGGGAATCCTCCCCCACTACACAGAGAGGTGGCCAGACAGCCCATGATAGGGACGATACGGGGGCTAGGACTTGGACTGTCACCATCTACCTGGGAGCAGAGACCTGTGAGACAACATGTCTGTCCAGAGCCCAGCCTGTAGACCCCACCCACTGATTGCTCCACAGAGGGCAGGGGGACGCAGCCGTGGGGCCTGCTATGAGAGTGAAGGACTGAGTCTCAGCTTGGCATCACCGAACCTCCTGGACCCTTCGTGAGAGAACCACCTGAAGGACATTCCATTGGAGCCACAACTCCAACCCAGCCAATTCCAAGAGACTCCTTCCCTCTGGCTACACTGGAGTAGTGTTCATCCCGGGGGGGGGCTGGGAAAGCCCCCTTAGAGGCAGTGGGAGGCACATCACGAGGGAGCAGGCTGTGCTGGGGCTGAGTAGGGGGTGGGAGGAGCCAGGAGTACTGGAAGAGCTGCTGCTGTGCAAAGGAGAGCTGCCCGGGATCTTGGGGACCAGCAGACGGCAGAGTACGGGAGACAGCTCCCAGCAACCTCTGGGCAATGGCAGCTTCTCCACGCGTGCGGACACGGTGACCAAGTGAGGTGGACAGGGAATCCAGCCTCCGACTCTGCTTTCCCCTCCACCAACCCCCTCGGTGGTGGTTTTCAATTCAATGAAGCCAATTAAGGTCTGAAAGAGGAGTGAGCACAGAAATGATGCTACACGCCGTTCTAGGCAGCCAGCCCAGGCCTGCAGGACAGATACAGCAGTGACATTGGGAGTGGTGGCTGAGGGAGAGAGTCACCCAGGGAGACTGTCTCACAGCAAGCATGGCCCCACCACACCCCACCACCCACCACTGACCTAGATCTGACAGCTCCCGAGGCTGGGTATGCATTCCCTTGAGCCAGTGCCCTCTGGGGCGGATCCCCCGGGGGACTTCCTGCCCATCGAGGGAGGGGATGGGTAGGCCTTATCCAGTGTGCAGTAGGGCTGAGTGGCTTGGCCTCAGAGGCTGAGATCCTTGAGGAAGGGTTCTGTTCTCTTGATGTGGGGCCGAAAGGGCAGTGGGTGGTCGGCCGCAATCTAGGGAACCTATCACCTGTCGGGTGAGAGGTAGGGTGCAGGACTTGCATGGCAGGCAGCGAGGGAGAGGTAGTCTGAGTTCTAAGGGATACTGAGGCAGTGGTACAGGAGCTGGGAAGGGATGCGGCTGGGCTCTGCTGATCCACCTGGTTGCTGTACCATGAGGCAAGTTCAAGTCACAGGCCAAATGCATGGGGCAGGGGTACCCGTCCTGGGTCAGGGTGGAGGTGCGTGGCCCCGGGGCCAGGAGCGAGGGAACCAGCTGCCTTGGTCCTAGCCAGAGCCAGCCGGCATCACCCAACCCGTGTTTCCTCCTCCAGGAAGGTGTCGACTAGATTACAAATGAGCCAAAGGCACCCAGTGGCCGATGGAAAGGGTCACGGGATGTGGGCCCCTCTGCTTAGCCTCAGCAACTGTTGTGCTGGCCGGTTCAATCCTGTTCTCTCCGGATAACTCTGTGCTCAGTCCTGGGGTCAGAGAGGCGGTCCCGAGGAGGCGGGGGCACCTGGATGGGACGAAGCACAGGGCGGGGAGTCCAGGTTCTGGCTGTTTCAAGTGACTTTGCCACTTCCCCCGTTTTAGCCTCAGAAGGAGTCTTGCCCAAGCAAGCCCCCTCCTCTCCTCACTTCTCACTCCCTGGCACCCACATCTGACCATCCCAGGTGGCCCACTTGTCGGCTGCCTCCCTCCCGTGTTCAGAGGCCCCCCAGGGATGCCTACCAAGGCTCGGTCTGCAGAGCACGTGGAGGCCCTTTGCCTTGCTTCTGGGTGCTTCCAATTCCAGGAGAAACCTGGGAAGGAGCACAGGGAGCCAAGGAGTGACCGTGGCTGCTCGTCCCCTCCCTTCCACGCCCTTCCCTCTCTCTTTCTCACACCTGCCTCTTCCTGCCCCTGGGCCCACCCCAGGTCCCCTCAGGGCCGAAGAGACACTCAGCGTGCTAAGCCGTGACCTGGAGCCCAGCTGGCCCTGTCCATGGCTTGGCGCACTCCCTGGGCCCACTAGCCCTGAAGCTACGCCCGAAGACCGCCAGGTTCTGTAGCATGCCCACAGCAGCACGGACCGAGCCTTGAACAGGCAAGTGTAGGGCTGCGGGAGGGACGGGGCATGGGCCCTCACTCATGGGGGCCCCAGCCCAAGGGCTCAGTGGGTGCAGATGTGGACTGAGCTTCGGTTTGCCTGCTTCTCCCCCACTTCTCCACAGGGGTTCACACGGCGGCCCCTCCCTCGCTGGCCTCTCTCAGCAGAGTGCTGGGACCTCGGGGGTTCGCTTGTCTCTAGCGGCTTGGACAGGCAGGATGGGCGACATGGCCAACAGTGCCATTGAGTTCTACCCCAAGCCCCAGCAACAGCGGGAAGCCCCCCATGCTGGTGGCTTTGGGTGCACGCTGGCTGAGCTGCGCTCCCTCATGGAGCTGCGAGGGGCTGAAGCCCTGCAGAAGGTTCAGGAAGCCTATGGGGATGTTGGTGGGCTCTGCC